TGTAGACAAGAATGACTCCTAAGTGATTGAGGTGTTCTGTTGTTGGATGTAATAATGAACATAGCAGTCGTCATTTACTCCCGACATCTGAGCCGCTGAACTCGCAGTGGATTACATTGTTTCTGAAGGGAATGCGACCCAGATCTACATAAATGCATCTATGTTTGCGTGAATCATTCGTGATCCAGCTTCACCTACAGAAGAAGTGAGTATGTTTTGTAATAAATCTTTGCAAATCGCCTTTCCTAATAATGAGCTAATTAGCAAGTTTCACGATGAATGCGGCTGAAGTAAACAGTCTGAGAGCAGCTCGGAAGAGAGGGGCGGGGTCAGCAGAGCTCATTAACATTTAAAGGGAAATGCTACAAAAACGGCTAGATCTGAAAAGAGCTGTTTTTGACAGGGTAAAAAAGGGTGTTTTTTTACACTAGCATTGAGAAATTTTAACCAAAGTATGTTACAGACTTTTCATTAAGACCCTAAAGAATCATATCAACTTGTGGAAAATGGGCATCCTATGACCCCTTTAAGTTTCAAGAGATAACAACAAGTATTTGACCCACGCTACAAAATAAGTCAATAAATAAGAGAAATGTACATCTCCTTTATCTGCTAAGAACTTGCAAAGCAGTCAAGGTAACGTCTTTCGAACTTGTTCAACTATCACTCCAACATAATCGGCGCAGATGTCAACAGATGTCCTGTGTATAAAGTTCTGTTTGTTTATGCTGGTTTTCCCAAAACAAAATGCGGTAATCCGAGTGAGCCAGTTCAGCTAGCGCTACGTGTTACACTGAAAGATTTAATTGACCCCTTATGTAATTGGAAGCGTCTCCGCTGTAGGAAGTGGTCTTATTTTTCATGAAAGTCACATCATGTATTTTTTCCATCAGCAATTCTCAGCCTGTTTACAACATCAGTTTGCCGATGAGACGGTTCTCCCACAGGCCTTATCTGGTCAGCACCACATGTCTATGTAAACAGAGGACTTTCAATAGCTTTGGATTTCAAAGAGAACACACAAAAACAGCATAAGCCGTTGTGTGTTAAGACCTTCCTCGGCTGAGATATTTCTGGAAGGTGGAAGATGGGGAAAAATATTTCAGATTTATCAATGTGAAGACTCTTCCTTCCAGGAAGCCACAATGAGGATCTAAACTCAACTTAGCTGGATGATAAATAGATCAGGCCCATAGGGAATTCACACAACAAGCACTTGATTATACCATGAACCGACTATAATTGCACGTAACTTTGTTGACACTGCAATCCATTTTATTGATTTGTAACTTGTGAATGGGATTTGTAATTTACAACAGTTCCAAAAGCAGGAAGAGTGAAGTTTTATTTATTATATGAAGTAGCCAGCCTGATCTTAACAATCATATTTTGTAGACGATAAGAGCTAGTAAGTTAAGTCAGGTTCTCACTACAAATGTCTATTTGACGAAGCAAGTCTCTAAAACACAAAGACTGTATAGCTAATGTTGGCGATTCTTATCTTCTTCTTTCTTGGTGTCGGTAATAAGTAATCTGAATTTTCAACTGGAGTGCATTGTGTGACCTAACAATATGATAGTGATTGATCAAATGATTTCAACATACAATCTATTACATTTAAAGTTTATAGAAACATGGGCATCTCAAAAACAGTAAACTGTATAAAACATAAGAGAGTTGCAGAAGTACATCACTGTTAAAAAGTTAAGAGGTCAATATGATTTTTTTAAAGAAATAATGCAAAAAAATAGTGTCACAAAAGATTTCTATTTCAAATAAATGCTGTTATTTCCACAAAAATATTAAGGAGTTTTCATAATTGATAATAAGAATAATAAGAAATGCTTCTTGAGCAGCAAATCAGCATATTAGAATGATTTCTGAAGGATCGTGTGACACTAAAGACTGGAGTAACGATGCTGAAAATTAAACTTTACATCACATTTTAAAATATATTGAAATAAAAAGAAGTTGTTTTATATGCCTTTGGTGAGCATTAGAGACTTCTTTTAAAAATATTTAAAAATCTCACGGACCACAAACCTTTGAACAGTACCTGGAAAAACTTGTGCCCAGAGGGCAAGTAGTACCTTCATACAAGTTTTTCAATCTACAGAAACAATATTATTGTTATCAAAACATCATGCCAGTCATTTAAGAGGGTCATGGTTCACACTGCTTCATAGAGAGAACATACACAAACATGAGACCCAGCCCGTCTCCAGCAGACACGTAAACACTACACCGTGCGGTTCTGAGCACGTATGCATGACCACCGTCATATGCAACTGACCACATCCAGTTGAGAGGGAAAGTTAATTCAATTGAATTTAGAGAAAACAGAGCTCTCATTCTTAGTGCATTTAACATCCGGCGTGTAAGAGTAAATTCAGAAAGTCTGGGAAAACTCAATTACAATATGCCTTCTCGTGGAATTTATCAAGAGAGCAAATACACATATGACTAAGTGACTTTATATATTTATTGACTTAGTGTTTATCAAGAGGTGTACTTGGCACGAGCTACTGTAGATCTGTTCTTCATCTTTCACTCAATGTTGTTCCTCAGTGCATGAGCAAACACATCCTGTAGTCCACAAAAACACCTCAGGGGTGTAACTTTAATACCCATCGGAAAGACAAATACATCACTAGCCGGGCCCTTTAACGGGAATTAAGGTCACAAGAATCCGATCCAGAGTCAGCATGATGTAAATACCAAGAGGTTTAATCGAGCCCCCAGTTTTATATCCCAGCCTCATCTGTGGTAAAAGTCTTTAAGTGCTGAAAAAAAACAATCTAAATGACTATTAAAGGAAAAGCCATCTAAGATGTAGATGAGTTTGTTTCTTCATCACATTAGATTTGGAGAAATTTGCATTATATCGTTTGCTCACCAATGGAGCCTCTGCAGTGAATGGGTGCCGTCAGAATTAGAATCCAAACAGCTAATAAAAACATCACAATTATCCACACCACTCCAGTCCATCAATTAATGTCTGGTGAAGTGAAAAGCTTCATGTTTCTAAGAAAGAAGAATTCATTATTAAGATGTTTTCCACTTCAGACCATTGTTTCTGGCTAAAATACAAGTCCTCTATCCAGTGAAAACGTCATCTTGTCTGAATAAGGAGAGACATATGCTCAGATTAAGCACGGTTTACCAGCGAAAACAGCCTAAAATAGCTTTAAACAAATATGCTGGTGGATTTTGATGTGAGAGCACAAAGGGAGATGGACTTTTTTTTATTGGAGGAAGCATTATTATTATGGATTATGGACTCATATTTTAGCCAGAAGTGACATTTTGAAGTTTAAAACGTTTTAATGATGGACTTGTTCATTACAAACATGCAGCTTTGATGTTAATTGATGGACTGGAGTGGATTACTTGTGGATTATTGTGATGTTTTTATCAGCTGTTTGGACGCTCATTCTGATGGCACCCATTCACTGCTACAGCAAGTCAGGCAATGCTAAATTTCGCCAAATCTGTTCTGATGAAGAGAAGAGAACTCATCTACATTTTGGATGGCCTGAGGGTGAATACATTTTCAACAAATTTTCATTTTTGGCTCAACTATTCCTTTAAAAAATAGCTTTTGACTGACTTAAGATCTGCATCATTTGGATTAAACTCAAAGCTGAGTCTCGTGAATGTACCTTTCACCTCAGGGCGAGTAGTGTTATTGGATTGCTGGTGGTTTTGAAGTGCTATGTCACTGGAATTTGACATGGGCTGTGGAAACAAACCCACACTGACGGTGTACCATATCAGGTTGATAATACAGGCATACACACATCTACAAATACACACACACACAGTGTATACTATCACCCGTACCTTCATCTTCTTGACATGTGGAGCGTGTGCCTTCGGAGCAGGAGCGAAAGTTGAAATCTCTGTGTTTTCAGTGTTTGTGTTGGCCTCCTGGGAACAAAACAATACACTCAGGGATTCACGCGAGATCACCTGAACCCACTGACTACAGCAACAAAGCATCAGTGCACATGACTGATGTATTCAGAAGACAACACAATTTCATGTGACAATTGAAACTAAAGTGCAAGTGCAGAAAAGCAGACGTTGTTGATGGTGGCATAGGAGAGATAGCATGATGACGTCTTGCAGTTTTGGCGAGTCGGTGCAAACAGCAACAAAGCAAGGTCAGGCAGACACAGTGTCTATGCATGTGACCACTAGGCTGAAGCAGGAGAAAGTGGCATGTTTTGGGTTGTGAAAGATGTGTTTCTTTACATGGGTTGGATTTTCTCAGTTGGTCTGCAGTTTTGAAGGCATTTGATGTACTTCAGATGTTCAAATCTAACAAATTTAGCTATATAAATGAAGAAGTTGGGCAAATGTTGCAAGCCAAATTTAAACTTGCATCGTTCAAATGAGCACCATGACTTTTTGGACCAGTGTTGTTATTCTTAACTAAAGTAAAAAATTCTAAAAAACATTTACAGTAATTGAAATGAATGAAATTTTACCAGAAATAAAATTAAATATAAAAAATGTTATATTCATATATAAAAAAACTTATATAAAAAAAACTTTTCATTTTAAAATGTTTCTTTAAAAATGTATTTAATGTCAGTAGCAAAAGAAACATTTCTAACTTTTGCTTAGATGAAAGTACTATTAATAATACTAAAATGGAAATGAAAATGAATATAAAAAAAAAGACAAAAAAAATTACTAAAGCACATAAAATTACTAAAACAACTAAAAGTAAAAGACAAACAGAAAGTATAAAACACTAATATAGAATAGTAATGATACTAACACTGGCTTGGACCCCAATTTTTGTTTGTTTGCATTTACTAATATTTAGTGCTGTCAAACGATTAATCGCATCCAAAATAAAAGTTTTTGTTTACATAATGTATGTATGTGTACTGTGTATTTTTATTATGTATATATAAATACATACATACAGTATATATTTTTAAAATATTTACATGTGTATACATTTATATATTTATATTCTTATATTTTATATCATACATAAATATATTTAATATATAAACATAACATTTTTCTTAAATCTATACATGCATGTGTGTGTATTTATATATACATAAGAAATATACACAGTATACACACATATATTATGTAAACAAAAACATTTATTTTGTTTTATACATTTATAATCGCGATTAATCGTTTGACAGCACTACTAATATTACATTGCTCCATTTCAAACAGTATTCTGTTCTCTTGCACTTAACAATTATTATTATACTGCCACATTATTATTCTTAATTTAAAAAATAATTCAAAAACATAATAAATACTAAGATAAAGTAAAGTAAGGATACTAAAACAACACTGGTTTGAACCCCAATATTAGTTTGTTTGCATGTACTAATATTAAATGCCTCCATTTCAAGGACTATTCTGTTGCACTGAACAATTATATTTATTATTCTTTAATAATTTTGTCTATGGTATAGATCAGTGTTTCCAAACCGGTGCCGTCTGTCGAGAGCAGGGTTGCCGTGTAAACCTTTTCAAATTATCATATTGACGTTAGAAATTCAAATATTGTGACAATTTATTTTGTAGGGTGCCACAAGTTTGTTAAAATTTCCAAAGGGTGCCGCGACTAAAAAAAGGTTGGGAAACACTGGTATAGATGACTGCCAACCGAGGGCAAGTGAAGTGGCAGTGCATTGGGAGTTTTGTCAGTACTCACTTTAACTATGATGAGGTTTGAAGGTTTTTCTTCGATTAGTTTTCTCTCCACCACAGGCTCAAAGATGGCGCTGTAGTTCTGGATCAGCTTGGCCATAATGTTGTTACAGATATTCTGCTCCCGTATACCGTCAAAACCAGATGACACACTGCAGAAAACACACACACATGCTGTGAAAATACAGATCCGAGTGCTGCCACATTAAATGAGAAAACCAGGAACAACATTTACCTCCTTTTTTAAAGCCCTTTTTAGTAATAAATCATAAGCAATGACATATCACAATCAATTGAGCAATATAAATAATGCAATAAAAGTAAATAGATTTTGGCGCTGATAGTCTTGTGGGCAGTGCGCTGTACGCCAAAAAAAACAATTAATAATAAAATAAATAGATATTAAATTAAATAAAATTAATTGAGCAATATGAAAAAGAAATTAATATATAACAAAATGAAATGCAAAAATAAATCAAGAATAAAACAACTTTTTTCAAGTTTTCATAAAAATGTGAAAAAAAATTGTCATTATGGGATCAAGGTAACATTGTAGAGTCAAATTCAATTTGCTGTCACTTAGGCAAAAGGTTTTTAAAAAGCAAACTTTTTTGTCAACTAAATAATTATTCTCTCTTTGTGTGAGGCCACACTGAGATACCGTCCCACGACAGAGGGTAATAAATGCACAGTAAATGCTGCTACTGTATTACTGTATGGGGTCACAGAGTGCTCGTCTGACAGCTGTATTTGTGGTTTAATTATTCCCCACAAAGAGAACATGCTGTACAGAGAAGAAGAAAGGTATGTGCCTAAAACAGGCAACAGTTTTGTCACTTCCACCTCACTGAGCTGAGGTTACACACATTGCATGTGGTGACAGGGATTCCCTGAAACTGAGCGGCTGATGTATTATTAGGGGTTGCGTTCATATTGCAACAGCTGGCAACTTGCTTACAAGTCACTATAACAGGGAACAAATCAAATAATATTTCAAATGACTAGATGCAACAATTAACTTGTATTTTGTAAAATCACATTACTTCATGTCCAGCCTCTGTAAGACATAAACTACATTGAAAATATTGAAGGGTGTTGGCTTAAATCTGGATATACAGTTAGTTATGTATGGAGGTTCACATCTGTATGCTTTTTGAGTATTTTTTTTCTCAGAGCTATTCACTTGTGAATAATCAGCCTGAGTGCTTCTGTGCCTGAAAATAGCAACCAAGTAATTTATGACCACAGAGAGTATGTAAGTGATATTTGTGTTAGCGCTGACATCGAGTAAAGAATTCCACCTGGACTTTGGCCCCCTCTATTGGAGTCCAAAGCCAGGATAGCTAGACAAAACTTGCACCCAACATGTATTTCAAAGCATTATTTTTAATGATGCAATGGCAATTTAAACCATCAAGATTTTAGGTTGAAATGTATAGGATTATATCAATGAAAAAGAAAATCATGCTTTGGTAAATCATAATTATTAGGGATGCACCGATACCACTTTTTCCAGTACTCGCCCGATACCGATACCAGTATCGGTATCGGTGCATCCCTAATAATTATGACAAAAAATGCTGAAATTAATGAGATAAAAAAATGTCATAATTATAAGATAAAAAATCAAAATGAGGAAATACAACTGTAAGTCATAATTAAAAGATAAAAATGGCAAATTTGTGACAGTCACAAATATGATGTCAACATCTTTTATTTTTTCAATTTTGACTTTTTATGTCTTTTTGACTTATGTCACAATGATTACTTGTTGTTTAAAGAAAAAAAAAAAAAGTAAAATTACTAGACATAAATTGTATGAATTATTTATTTCCACAACATAAGGTCACACTTTAATTTGTGGACCAATTCTCACTATTAACTAATTATTAATTTCAACTTTTGTCTCAATACACTCCTAATTTACTCCTTATTAATAGCTAGTAAGGTAGTTGTTTAGGTATGGGATAGGATTAAGGGAAAATATGGTCATGCAGAATAAGGCAATAATATGTGCTAAAAAGTACTAATAAACAGCCAATATGCTAGTAATATGCATGCTAATAAGCAACTAATTAATAGTGAGAATTGGTCCTTTAAATAAAGTGTTACTAAAAAAATATCATGCTTTTTAAAATTTAAACAGTCCTGTGATATGACAAATTAATATTTTATATAGTGTCTCAATTAATATGAAGTCCTAAAAATTGCATTAAAATGGCATTTTATATGATTATTTTGATTGCAAATAATCAACTAACAAAAAGTCATGTCAAATACCCTGTAAAAATGTTTTAAATAATAATAATAATAAACAGCATACACACATAAATAAACATAATAGTGTGAATTTTTAAGTTACAGACGGTACACTCATGACAAACAGAATAATTCATCACTGTGCAGGCATTGAAACTACGCTCTATAGAGTTGGTCAATGGTTGTGTTAAGTCTGTCTTGGAGACATGAGTGCAGATCACTCTGAAATACAGCCAATGAGAAGCGAGACTGAGAACATGACACCCAGACCACATAACATGCAGCTTTTGGCAATGAGTGGACGAAACATAATTCAAATAGCTTACGGATACATGCACAACTCAAGGTAAAACATTTAGAGCTTTCTGCAATTACCTTTCTATGAGTGAACTTAAATGCAAAGTAAAGAATTTACTTGAAGACATGATGGGTATCAGATTATGGATCAGCTGATATAATTAATGGAAGTAAAAAATATTTGATTGGTTTGCTTTTGTTGAACTGTGTGACTGTGACTTACTGGAAGACGTTGGGCCCAAACACCGTGGCCAGGTTGGTGGCGGTCATGCGGTTATGAGCATGTTCCTGTTCCACCTGGGACAGGAAGTGACATAAGTAATGCAGGAGACTGTAGTGGATATCTGGCAGCTGGAGTAGGAGCTCACGCACGTCCTTACAGAAGTCACCTTCACTGGATTCTGACAGAACAACACAGAAATATAATAAAGGATTTGATATGTTAAATAGGAAGATATTCATATTTTTAAAATACAAAAGAAATGCGGTCAAAGAAACAGAAAATGCCACTTTAAATGATTTAAATCACCTTATAAAGTCTGTGACAAATTCTAATACATATGTATTTTATAATTAATTAAATAATAAATAAATTATTAATCATTAATATTTACAATAATAATACATTTTAAATTATAATGTTGTTATTGTTATATATTTGCTACTTTGGTTAGTTGTCAAAAAAACAGTAATGTCAAACTCAAACTACTACTCATTTATCAAAAAATAAATACACTGCAGTAATAAATAAATATTTTTTAAAAATAATTATTAATCAATTTACATTATAGTTAATAATAATAAATATTTTCATAATATTTGTCATTTTTTAATTTTTGTAATATATTTTCTATTTTAGTTATAGCTGTCACAGAAACAGCTACAAAGCAGTAATAGTTGCTGGGGAAAAGCTGCAAAACACGAAGTGCTGACAAGGATTATTTGTGGCGCTTTTAAGGTGAATAGTAAATGTGGAAGTGAATAAAGCTGACTAGGAATTACTCTGTAAGAAGTAGGGGAAGGGTGATGGCTTTAATAGTGTGTGGACGTGGTAAAACAGTGTGGGGCAACGGGAAGAGAAAGTGCCACATCAAATTGCTGAAGTGCGCGTGCTATAACTACTAATGAAATAGAGGAACCTCACTATGATTGAAAGGTAAACTAGAATTTACTAGCAATAATCATATATATATCAGTCCCTCCAGGATTTCGCGGGACTTTTTTCTGATTTTTGCAGCCTAAAATGACTGATTTTGCTGCAGCTTTTCTCAAAATTTGCAGTGATATTTGCGGCATTTCTTATTGTTTTGCAGTGAAAATATACCACAGACAACATTCTTCTAACCTTGTTATGATTTTCTGACTTCGAGAACCATTGTAGGGCTCCAGACTAACATTTGAGGACACCAGCACCTGTGCCGTTAAGTTCTACAGAAGGTGGCACCAGCTCCTGACAGTAAAGCACTCACCCTAATCGCACATGTACATCTGATGTCTGCATTTACATATGCAAGATGTATTTTTTTTAGAGTGTTTGCTCATCTGCAATACGTCTCCAAGACATTTCCTGTCAGATGTCAAAAAGACATTTATTAGAATGCATGCACAGACAACATTCTTCTAACATTGTTATGACTTTTCTGACTTCGAGAACCATTGTAGGGCTCCAGACTAACATTTGAGGACACCAGCACCAGTGCCATTAAGTTCTACAGAAGGTGGCACCAGCTCCTGACAGTAAAGCACTCACCCTAATCGCACATGTACATCTTGGAGATGTGATGTCTATTTGATGTCTGCATTTACATATGCAAGATGTATTTTTTTTAGAGTGTTTGCTCATCTGCAATACGTCTCCAAGACATTTCCTGTCAGATGTCAAAAAGACATTTATTAGAATGCATGTAAAACTGCTTCTGAGACGTTTATCAGATTACACAGCAGATGTTTCCCAGATCTTTAGCAGACGTCTTACAGATGTACTTGTGCTGTCTGGGTAGTTGAGATGCAGATAAAATTAACTTTTATTACTGTCATTCATAATGTCTAAATATAATTTAATAAATACAAAATCTATATATTAGAAAGTGGAAATGGCTAATAAGCCTATAAGTACTTCTCTGGGTTGTTACTAGAAGGTATACAGCAAAAACCGGAAGCTAACAATAAATTGAATTTTCTACCTATTAGATTGTGTTTTATTAATGTCTACACCCCTTACAATAATGCAAAAATAGTAATTATTGTTGTACAGTGTGAGAAAACTTACACTATATTGATGTGTGCATGCGCAGTAGTTTTTGCTGTATGCCTTCTAGCCTTAACCGAAAATCTGCAATCGGCAATTACGAAAATTTGCGAGCTCTTGCGAAAATTGCGGAGTTTGCTTGATAGAAATCGCGGTCCGGGGGCACATAGACCGGACCGAAAGGGCACTTTAGTGTCAGAGATTAAAGGGGTAGGGGCTCGAGCCCCCCCCCCAAATACAGGTAATACAGTCTGTCAGAGATAGATAGATAGATAGATAGATAGGGCACTTGGGGTGGTTGCTAAGGCGGTTACTAGGGTGTAGCTATGCGGTTGCTAAGGTACCCGGGTCGGTTGCTAGGGTGTTGCTTTGTGGTTGCTAGGGTGCCCGGGGTGGTTGCTAGGGTGTTGCTATGCGGTTGCTAGGGTGCCTGGGTGGTTGTTAAGGTGTTGTTATGCAGTTGCTAGGGTACTCTAGGTAGTTGCTAAGGTGTTGCTATGCAGTTGCTAAGGTACCTGGGTCGGTTGCTAGGGTGTTGCTATGCAGTTGCTAGGGGTGCTCGGGTGGTTGCTATGGTGTTGCTATGTGGTTGCTAGGGTACCCAGGATGGTTTCTAGAGTCTTACTATGCAGTTGCTAGGGTGTCAGGGCAAGTTGCTAGGGTGTTGCTTTGTGGTTGCTAGGGTACTCTGGGTGGTTGCTAAGATGTTGGTATGCCGTTGCTAGGGTACCGTTGGCGGCTGCTAGGGTGTTGTTATGCGGTTGCTAGGGTACTTGGGGTGGTTGCTAAGGTGTTGCTAGGCTACCCGGAGTGGTTGCTAGGGTGTTGCTTTGGGATTGCTAGGGTACTGAGGGTGGTTGCTAGGTTGATTTGGCTAGTTGCTAGAGTGTTGCTATAAAGATAGATAGATAGATAGATAGATAGATAGATAGATAGATAGATAGATAGTCTTGGCTCATTTGAACATTCCATCAATGCAAGTCTATGGGATTTTTATGATTTTTAATCTTCATTTTTAAGAAAACCGTTAGTCCGATCAGTTAGAAAAGATATAGCACACTAAGTGAGATCAGTCTGAAGAGCATAATCTTAGCCACCATGTTAAGTCTGTGTCTTAAAGGTCCCATGGAATGAAAATTTCACTTTATGAGGTTTTTTAACATTAATATGAGTTCCCCTAGCCTGCCTATGGTCCCCCAGTGGCTAGAAATGGCGATAGGTGTAAACCGAGCCCTGGGTATCCTGCTTTGCTTTTGAGAAAATGAAAGCTCAGATGGCCCAATCTGGAATCTTCCCTTTATGTCGTCATACGGGGAAAGGTTACCTCCCCTTTCTCTGCTTTGCCCGCCCAGAGAATTTGGCCCGCCCATGAGAAAATGAGCTACTACAGTGCCAGGCCAGTGCAATATTTTTTTTTTCCTCGAGAGACATCATGGCTTGCAAACGAGCGAAGCATGGCAGTTGCTCAGTGTTTGGATGTACAAATGAACACCGAAGTATTTTTTTAGTTCCTTCATCCGAGCCTATGAAGAAACAGTGGGTTAATTTTATTTTCTCTGGTAATGCGCCGACACAACTTCCCAAAGTTTTGTATGTCTGCGCCAAACATTTCACCGACGACTGTTTCCTCAACTTGGGCCAATACAGAGCTGGCCTTGCTGAACGTCTGAAAATAAAGTCTGGATCAGTACCAACTCTCCTTGGCTCAGCTACAAACCTCGGACAAGTAAGTCAACTAACGCTATACAATTTTGTTGCTTTACTGTATATGGTTACCTAGCTTGTTATCCTTAGAATGTGGCTGTAACATTAGCTCTGCAGCTAACAGCTAACAGCCCAGTTACTGTCACTAATGTAAAGGTAGATAGCATCAAGTATGTGTGTGAATACACACACTGTAACGCGAGTGTTGCACATTTTTTTGTTGTTTGGATAACCGTTCTGCTGTTGGTGTTATGGCGCACGCGATATCCACATTTCCAGATTGCAGAGCTTGATGTAATTGTAATAAGAAAGATTGTAAAAACTTTTAAGATATATGAAATATAAAATATGTAAACAAATAAATGATGTAATATCATTTAATCATTTCATAGATATAATTTTAAGTATTAATGTTATTCAGTAAACATGCTTATCTTCTAT